GATGATTTAAATGATTTAGTACATGTAGTTGAGCAATCTACAATAGATGGATATAATCAGGCAGAAACAGTTTATGATGTAAATGGAAATAAAAAAGTTATTTTTTATAGGTGGTCCAAATTCCTAGGTCAATTTTTTACAGCAATACCGTCGATTCTCAAGCAACATCAGTTTATAATGTCTAGTGAAAAAGTTGGAAAAGTGGAAATCCGAATATCCTGTAATAGTATATCAAAAGAACTTAATATTGCACGAATTGAGTCAATCTCTTGCATTAAAAATTCTTTTCCAGAAGTGTTACCAGCACGTGGTATCAGTTTAGAGCGGCAATGGTACTTGTACGAAGAAATACGGCAGCATATTCAGGACACATCAAAACAAGATACATATTGTTTGAAACCAACCCAACCCAAGCCAAAAAAGAAAGCAAAAATCATTGAAACTGACAATTAATTTTTTTTTAAAAAAGGTTATTATAATTTCTATATTTAGCATCATCTTAGCATCGTTACTGATTATTTTTGAATTTTAACGGCAGAATCGCATATCAATTGGTGGCCCCAATAGTGTGTTTTATTTAATGAGTTAATCGGATCTGAATCAAATTATACTTTACTTTTAAATTTTGTATTTATTGGGTATAATAGAATGGATTTAAGAATTAGTTGTCTCCTTTTTTTTTTGCTTTAAATCAGCTGTATCATCATTTTTATGCTAATGTTAACGGGATCAAGTTTTTAGTGCGCTAAATGTAAAAAAACAGTACAGTCTCATTGAATAAAGGCTGTTATAACTTTTTATTTATAAGTAGCTTATTGTAATCATTTTTCATATTTTGTTTACTTTTATAATCAAAGAATTATAAATGTATATTTTTTATTTCTTTAAAAAATGGAATAAAAGAGTCAAGAGACGATATAAGTTATATCATACAATAACCTACTCTATTTAACAATAAACTATTATTAACCCTGAATCTACCATCAAAATACATCCTGCATAATTTTAGTTGCAGTTGAAAGCTAATTTGCGCATGCATAATTCCAAGTTATAACAATCCTCTTTATCTAATAACAATGTAGTGCCAGGTTAATGCAATATTAGCACTTTGAAACTACTAAAAAAATAAGGTCAATCCTAATTTAAGACCCGACGTAATAAGATCTAAGCATAAAAAAAGGCTTACTTGTACTGCTGAGTAGTCATAAAGACGTATAATAATTCAAAGCTTAGTGTTTTGACAAAATTTTGTGAAAGGACGGATCCGTTTTTTTAGTTATATAGCTGTGAAGTTTTCACCAACATTAGCTTGTTACAATAATAATGACGGAGGGTAAGTATTTTTAATACTGAGTCAATAGAAATCAAGCAAATTTATTAGATAAATTTGCTTGATTTCTACTGACTCAATTTTTTTTTGATTTCGTTTTTAATATAAAATACTGAGTCAGTAGAAATCAAGCAAATTTATTAGATAAATTTGTTTGATTTCTACTGACTCAATATTTTTTGATTACCGATCATCTGATGTAGACTGATTAGTACTAATTAGATCGGATATTGTTTACTATGTGTGATTACAAAAATTGGATTATCTCCAAATTAGGATTTTACCGATTTGCTTGATTTCTACTGACTCAACCCCATATTATCAATGCTTTATTCAAGTATGATTAATATATTATCTGAGGTATATTAATAGCTAATTAAAATAAACTTCTACTATACTAGCTATAAGACCCAACTCTTAAATAGAAATAGAATTTGGTAAGAATAGAATATATATTTATAGAAATTAAAAATAGTTAAAAAGATTTGTAATAAAATTACAAATCTTTTATGCAAGATAAATTTTGTAGCAATTTAATAAAAACAAATTTGGTAAGATATAATTTATGTAATAGTTACAATTTTATGCCAATTTGGTTAGAGAGATTATATAACAGAAATATAAAAATTTTTTGGTATAAAAATAAAACTTATAGGCATTTTTAAAGGCTATTTGAAACTTTAGAGAGCCTAATATTTGGAGTGCGGGTCAAAATCCCGACAAACAGAATCCCAACAGGTTATAATCTCAACAGAAAAATCCCGACCGATTGAAAATCCTGACAGTTAAAAATCCTGACAGTCCCAATAGTTAATTCCAAACTAATACACAGTCAGTGATGTAAATTGGGTTCGCTCAGTAGGCGCAGCATACATAGATCTAAATTTGTGCATATATCAGCACTCTCTATATATATAGCGTGCATATAAATTTTTCTTTTTGTATATATTTTTTTGCATTTGCGCGAATAAAAATTTTTTGAATTTATAACACTGTACACAGTAAAATATCAATAACTTTAATTTATTAAGGTGATTATTTCTTCATTTATTTATTAGCTTTCTTGTAAACTTGTTAATCTGGACTTAGAACTAATTAGTTTTCTATTTTTCAATTCTTTTAGCTAACATTTCTAGATTTATGCTTCTCCGGAATTTGTGATTTGAATTTGCTGTATAATCTTTTATGTTTTGCTTTTCTGGAATTGATTTGGCTTGGTTGTAACAATAAGAGGTTTTATTTTTCATTTTTTTCTACTTTTAATTCTTTAGACCAACTTCCTTTTTTTTTTGTAGGTCTATTCTTGCTGGAGTTGGTGATTTGGATTTGGCTGAATAATTTCTCGTGTTTGTACTTCTCCGGGATTGGTAATTTGTCTTGGTATAACGATAAGTAGTTTTCATTTTCTCATTTTTTTTCCACTTTCAATTATTTAAACTAATTTTCTTTTTTTTTGTAGATTTGTTCTCACTAGGGTTGGATTTGGCTGAATAATTTTTTGTGTTTGTACTTCTTTGAGATTTGTGATTTGTCTTGGTTGTAACGATAAGTAGTTTCTATTTTCTCATTTTTTTTTCTACTTTCAATTATTTAAACCAACTTCTTTTTTTTTGTAGGTTTGTTCTCGCCAGGTTGGATTTGGCTGAATAATTTTTTGTGTTTGTACTTCTTCGGAATTAGTGATTTGTCTTGGTTGTAACGATAAGTAGTTTTCATTTTCACATTTTTTTTCTACTTTCAATTATTTAAACCAACTTCCTTTTTTTTGTAGGTTTGTTCTTGCTGGGGTTGGTAATTTCTCCAGGATTGGTGATTTGTCTTGGTTGTTACGATAAGTAGTTTTCATTTTCTTGTTTTTTTTTCTACTTTCAATTATTTAAACTAACTTTCTTTTTTTTTGTAGGTTTGTTCTCGCTGAGGTTAGTAATTTGGATTTGGCTGAAAATTTATCGTGTTTGTACTTCTTCGGAATTGGTGATTTGTCTTGGTTATAATAATAAGTAGTTTTTATTTTCTTGTTTTTTTTTCCACTTTCAATTATTTAAACCAACTTCTTTTTTTTTGTAGGTTTGTTCTCGCTGAAGTTGGTAATTTGGATTTTGCTGAAAATTTCTCGTGTTTGTACTTCTTTAGAATTGATGATTTGTCTTAGTTGTAATGATAAGTAGTTTTTATTTTCTAATTTTTTTTCCATTTTAAACCAACTTCCTTTTTTTTGTAGGATTGTTCTTGCCAGAAGTTGGTGATTTGAATTTGGCTAAATAATTTCTCGTGTTTGTACTTCTCTGGGATTGGTGATTTGTCTTGGTATAATGATAAGTAGTTTTTATTTTCTCATTTTTTTTCTACTTTCAATTATTTAAACCAACTTCCTTTTTTTTGTAGGTTTGTTCTCGCCGGAATTGGTGATTTGGATTTGGCTGAATAATTTCTCATATTTGTACTTCTCTGGAATTGGTGATTTGTCTTAGTTGTAATGGAAGTAGTTTTCATTTTTATTTTTTTTTCTACTTTCAATTATTTAAACTACCTTCCTTTTTTTTGTAGGTTTGTTCTCACTGGAGTTGATGATTTGGATTTGGCTGAATAATTTCTCGTGTTTGTACTTCTCCGAAATAGGTAATTTGTCTTGGTTGTAATGTTAAGTAGTTCTCATTTTCTTATTTTTTTTCACTTTCAATTATTTAAATTAACTTCCTTTTTTTTGTAGGTTTGTTTTCGCCAGAGTTGGTGATTTGGATTTGGCTTAATAATACCTCATGTTTGTACTTCTCCAGAATTGGTGATTTGTCTTGGTTGTAATGATAAGTAGTTTCATTTCTTATTTTTTTTTCACTTTTAATTATTTAAACCAATTTTCTTTCTTTTGTAGGTTTGTTCTTCGCTGGGATTAGTGATAGACTTGGCTAAATAATTTTTTGTGTTCATGCTTCTCTGGAATTAGTGTTTTGGACTTGGTTATATAATTTTTTATGTTTATGCTTTGTTAGAATTGGTGATTTGGGCTTGGGTATAATTATAAGTATCCTTATTTTCTTATCATTTTTAATATTTTCGATTAACTTTCTTTTTGTAGGTTGTGCTTCACTAGTTTATTATTTCTTACTATGTTCAATTGTTTTCTTTTGTATGTAGCATATTGTGTTAACATCACCACTCAAAAAATTCATGAGCTAATAACTTTCAGGATCAATATAAAAATCACTTATATTGTAACTCAAAATTTAGGCTATAAAACTGTCTTTTGCGTATTAAAAAAAAATTTTTTTATAATATTTTAGTATGATAATATCTTCAAACCCAAATCTAATGATAATAAACTAATGTGAAATTTTTGCTATGGAATAATTTGAAATTTGATTGACTGTTCTAAAAAAATTAAACAACTAGTTAATAATTAAAAATTCTTATCACAGATGATCATGGACTAGTAAAATTTAAAAAATTCGATATGTTGAATTAGGGTATTTGGTCAACTATGTTTCGATATATTAATTTTATTATTGTTATTGTATAATATATTCAAAATCTATGATAATTGATTTTTATAAGATACTGCATATAGTTTTGTCTAGGAATGTTAAAAAGTCCGTTCTGTCTGGTCCTATTGTAGTCCTTAAAAAGACTGGTCCTTAGCCAGTTAGGACTACTAGTTCCATCTAACCATATCAGCTTTAATATAAAATATGCGTGATTTAGAGTTAACCAATCGGAGTATAGTAAAGTTATTAATCGCCTAACTAGTTTTAAATTATAGTATTTTTTTTTTGATTTTAACCTAGTGTATCTTAGGACCCCAGTGCAGGGCCAGTCCCGAACTAGTCCCTTTAGTCCTAGTTTAGACTGGTCCAAACTAGGCCTCCTGTGAACCATTTAACATAGAGATGTTAAGTTGTTTGAAAAGAACTAGTTCGGCACTGGTTTTAAACTAGGACTACAAAGAACTGGTCTGAACTAGTTAAAAATCACTTGATATAAATAGGTGTCATTTTTGACACATTAAATAAAAATAAATTAAGAAAAATATTTTTATTAGCAGTAATTTTACAGATATTTTATCACTAATCGGATGATTAATAGAACTCTGATTGGTGAATTTTAAATCGTAATGTAATAATTGACATTGTTAGTTCCTAACTAGTTCAAGACCAGGACGAACTAGGACTAGACTAGACTGTACATTTAACATCTCTAACTTAACATTCCTAGTTTTGTCAAACATAGTTGACCTAATACCCCAATGTTAAATAGCATGATTTGAATACCACTCAAACTTCCATTCGAACTGCTATTCAACAACATCATATGACTTCACAGACATGTATATTCGCAAAATCATGTGGTAGTGTTGAATAGCAGTTCGAATAGAAGTTTAAGTGGCATTCGAATCATGCCATTCAACATATTGAATTAGGGTGATTATTAAACTAATCAAATCAAACCATAAGTAGGGTTATATATACTAATTAGATATTTTTTATAAAGATCCAAATTTACTGCAGATAATAACAACTTTCAGTACAGTTTTTTTTTGAACTAATATAATAATTGCAAGTTTAATTTGTTGTAAATGACATTTTAACTGGTTTAGAATAGTGTAACAATGTTATTTTTTTGATTTATTTCGTTTACAAGTAGCCAATTCTTAAACAAAGTAAAGAAACTTTACTCAAAATGTAACAACAATAAATTCATTAAAATTAAAAAAACAACATTATCACTAAAAAGAGAGGAAAGAGAGCTACAAAAATAAAAAAAAAATTGATACAAAAATTTTATGTAGTTAACTTGAAAATCGTACTTTCGTCAATTATATTAAAAAAACATTACTTGTTTGATGAATAAAGAAAATAATTTATAAAAAGTGAAATACAGAAATTATTATATTATGCCTTTTTTGTAGCTTTCTTTTAGAGTTAGAGTTAGGATTTAAGGTTAGGGTTGTTAATAAAAAGGTATATGTGATTTATAAAAATTCTTACTAATCACATATGTTAACCAGCCTATATACTTTGCATTCACTTAATAAATGATTTAGAGCTTTTTGAATTAAAAGTTCTCTTTATTTAGCAACTTGCATATTGTTTATACATACATATAGATAATTTTACATACAGATAAATAAAAATAATTATATTTTTTTAAATTGTTCTTATTTTTTTGCTATTTGTTACTTTTTTATAACTAATAATATAAATTGTTCGATTTTGTAGGTTGATATTAAGAATTCAGAATTGTACTATGTTGTACTATAGTATCTTTGAGGTAGACCTTTACGAAATTACTTATAAAGAAAGGTTGTGAGCCATTCCATAGAGAAACTCCATTAATGTACGATTTTAACAATTATTAATAATAGTGTCTAGCCTTTTTTCTCTATTAATTATCCTCTTTTTTGATTTTGGGCATTGTGCACCATGGAGAATAGCTTCGATTTGATGCTCAACTTGTTGTTACTCCTTTTGGAATTCTCCAACAATGGTATAAACACTTACGTGGGGTTAACTAACCAAATTTTCCCAACATCAGTGCCAAGCTTCAACAACATTTGATATTCAAGGAACACTAATTTCTATAGAGTCATGCATAGACCACATTTGTAGTGGGAAAAGAAGTACTGCATGACTAATAGTACTATTATGCATTTGTCATCTTATTTTTCCATGAACATAATTGTCTTCAAACTATTGCACTATATCATTTGTTTCTAGAAGCATTTTTTCTTTAAAACATCAAATGCTGTAGAAATTTCATTTGATGGTAAAAATGCTAAAGCAAATAGTTGATGCAATATAATACTTAAATTCTCATCAGTGCCATACTGAGTTGAAAGCCCACACTCTTATATCTTTCTCTAGCTACTTTGTCCTAAGTGAAAGAAGCACCCTTTGTTGTGAACACCAGAAAACTTGTCATGCAACGCATTAATTGCAACAAGTTCAAAATCTGTAAGAATTACTGTAGGGTTTAAGGAGATATTACTCTCTTCTGCGAATTCAATTAAGTCTTGAAATAATGCTCTATATAAATCTTCGTATTTTTTTGTCATTAGCACATATACTAACAGAAGAACTCTTGAGTTATCTGCTATACCAATAGGAGCATGAATTGTATATAATTGGTAAAAAATAGCTAGGACAGTCTTAAAGGTACCATCCATTATCTAATATAATGCTCTAGATAAATATTGTATAATGGCTTTTGAGGTAAACAAGAGAATTCTATTTTCTCTGATTATAGAATCTCTTACTAAAAATTTTCTTTACTAAATATCAAACAAAACGAATCAGATATGTTAACATCATCGAGATTTTGAGGTTGCAGCAGCATGTCTGCTCACCTAATACATTTAATTCGTATATGTAAAGCATTTTGTGATAGCATGTAGGAATAGATTTCTCCTGGAATACTAACAATAGTATTTTGAATTACTTGAGCTAGTTGATCATTTGTTTCTTTAGCTTGTTCCTTTATAAGAGCAATATTTTTAGCTACTTCTGCACTACTCGCCTGTGGAGTATGACTATAACTACCAGTGAAGTTTTTAAGATAGTATAAATTATTTATATATTTTGTTATAGCTCGACCTTTACATTCGTGAGATTTTTTTTTTCACAGCACTAGTAATATGTATCCTCACGACACCGTTCCTTTACAAACAAATAACTATGAATATTAATCTTATCTATTTCTTTCTGAGAAGGTACAATTTTGCAAATTTTATCCATTATTTATGATAATTATATAATAGATATTTTATTAGAGATAATAATCGAATTTAAAGGTCGAATCTTGTTTTTTACAAAGAGAAAATTAGGATATTTTATACTTTACAGAAAGGTATAAGCAATTTAGATTAAATTCTTTTTAACACGAAAAAATATATCTTTTTCATATTCAATATATATATCTTGATTTGAATCGAATAATTTTGACACATTCGATTCGAATAATATAAAAATCAGTGATTCCATAATGAGATATTATTGATTTGTCATATATTAAAAAAAAATATCTCATGATCGAATGATCAAATTGAATAATTTTAGCATTATTCAATCTTCTTGATGAGAAGAATCGAATATCAAATGATAGATCATATGAGTAAAGATTATATAATCTATATCGATATTACATTTTTGGAACAATAATATATTAAAAATAAAAATCATCCCATTTTCGACCATTAAACATAGAGCCATTATTATTTTTATTAAAAATTTTTTTTTATTTTGCATAATATATATTATTTACAAAATTTCATATCTTATGCCCTAATAACAAATCTGTCTATCAATTATAAAATAATTAATATATGTATAAAACTTGATGTCACATTTGCAAAGTAAATCCTACAAAATAAAGAAAATTAGAAGAAAAAATAAAAATATGCTTTTTCAGATTCAAATCCTCATTTCTAGTGCCATTTCGTATTCCTAAGCAATGCACAAACCTACAAAAAAGGAAAAGTTAGTTGAAAGAACTAAAAAATGAAAAAAAATGACAAGTAAATTAATGTTACTTATCATTATGCAGCCAAGCCCAAAACATCATCCTCGATGAAACACGAACCTACAAAAGAAAAGAAAGTTAAAGAAAAATAAAAATAAAAGCTACTTATCGTTATAGTCACCAATTCTAGTGAAGCATAACACAAGAAATAAACGCAACAGCTAAGTTCAAATTACAAATTCTGGTGAAGCACAAACCTACAAAAGAAGGAGAAGTTAGTTAAAAGAATTAAAACTGGCAAAGCACAACACAAGAAATGAAACTACAGCCAATCCCAAATCACTAATCCCAAGAGAAGCACAAACGCAAGAAATCATTCAGTTCAAATCAATCTCAGTAAAGCACAAACCTACAAAAGAAGAGAAGAAATTAAAAACAGAAACAACAGCAAAAAAATAGAAGCTACTTACCATTACAGCAAAGCCAAATCACCAAGCCTAGCGAAGCACAACACAGGAAATGAAACTACAACTAAGTCTATTTCACAAATCCCAGAGAAGCACAAATACAAGAAATTATACAGTCCAAACAATCCCGATGAAACACAACCCTACAAAAGAAGGGAAGTAATTAAAAAGTGAAAAAAAAACCAGCAAGAAAATAGAAGCTACTTACCGTTACAGCAAAGCCAAATCACCAAGCCCAGCAAAGCACAACACAGGAAATGAAACTATAACCAAGTCTATATCACAAATCCCGAAGAAGCACAAATGCGAGAAATTATACAGTCCAAACAATCCTAGCGAAACACAACCCTACAAAAGACGAGAAGGAATTAAAAAGTGAAAAAAAAACCAGCAAGAAAATAGAAGCTACTTACCATTACAGCAAAGCCAAATCACCAATCCTAGTGAAGCATAACACAGAAAATGAAGCTACAACCAAGTCTATATCACAAATCCTGGACAAGCACAAATGCGAGAAATTATACAGTCCAAATCAATTCCGGTGAAGCATAACCCTACAAAAGAAGAGAAAGAATTAAAAAGTGAAAAAAAAACCAGCAAGAAATGAAAGCTACTTATCATTACAGTTAAGCCAAATTACCAATCTCAGCGAAGCACAATACAAGAATGAAGCTACAACCAAGTTCAAATTACCAATTCCAGAGAAGTACAAATGCAAGAATTCATACAGTTCAAATCAATTTCGGTGAATCACAAACCTACAGAAGAAGAGAAGAAATTAAAAGAGCAAAAAATGAAAGCTACTTACCAATCTTGGTGAAGCACAATACAAGAAATGAAGCTACAAACACAAGAAAATATCAATCTAAATCAATTCTGGCGAAGTACAAATGCAAGAAAACATCAATTCAAATCAATCTCAGCAAAGCATAAATCTACAAAAGGAGTGAAGGAATTTAAAAGCAGAAAAAAACTACAAGCTACTTATCATTACAGCAGAGCCAAATCACCAATCCTAGCGAAGTACAACACAAGAAATGAAGCTACGGCTAAGTCCAAATCAATCCCAGACCTGAACCTTCAAATGAAGTAAAAATATTAATAAAATATAAAAAAAAAACTATGAAGCTAAATAAAGTATAATATTACCTAACAGCTAACTACGTATAAAAAGTTATGTTGTTTACTGTAGTTAGAATAAAAAAATATTTGATACATAAAAAATTTTAAAAAATTAAAAAAAAAATTAGATTATTAAATTGTGTACAGGGTTGTCACATTGCGCAATGTCCAAAAAAAAATTGTGTACCAATAATTTAATTCAGAACAGAGACGATGATTTTCTGAATACTAAATTCTGCGTTATTTAAATCGATCCTCTCAATAAGAGGATCAATATAAATAACAGAATTTAGTATACCGAATTGAATATAGAATTATCACGTATCTGATTCAGAACTATCAGAAACATATCAGGATTTTTAGTTGTCAGGATTTTCAATTGTCGGGATTTTTTTGTCAGAATTATGACCTGTTAGGATTCTGTTTGTCGGAATTTTGACCCAAACCCTAATATTTGTGCTAGAAAGATAATTTAGAGCTTGTTATGACTAAAAAAAGCTAGCTAACAACTTTACTTAAGAGCACAAGAGATTTAGAAGCTAGTTTTAAAAAAAATTTAAATTTTACTACTTTTAGTTTTTGAATATAACTTTGCTTAAAAAAAAACAAAGGTTATAAAACTAGACTACTAGAGTATAAAATTGTGTGTAGAGTAAGTTTACTTAAGATTACTTACTTAGTTTACTTAATAAATTTTAAAGAAATTTGGTTTTATTAAAAAAATTTTTGGTAAAATTTAGTATAAAGGATTTACAAATTAAGTACACTCTCTAAAATAAAAATTTTAAATGAAAGAAAATACAAAAATATGCCTTGTAGATATAATCAAGATTATATAGCTTTGAAATATATAAAAATTAAATTAAATTATTAAAAGAAAATATTAAACTAATATACTATTTATAAATTATAAAAAGGTAAAGAAACAAGTAAATTTGAGGTAAGTAAAAGAAAAGAAAGTAAAGAAAATAATAATATAAGAAAAAAAAAAGAAATTAATAAAATAATTTAAAAATAGAGAAGTTCAAAGAAGTATTAGTAAAAAAGTTGAGAAAGAAGAATATTTTTTGTATGAAAAAATTAGAAAAGAATATGAAGACAAATATAAAGAAGATGAAATTATTGAAAAGAAAAATGAATAGAAAAATTAAAAAGAGAAAATAGAGAGTTAAGAGATGTAATTGAAGTAAAGTAGAAGTGGGAATTGAAGTATAATAAATTAAGAGAGGAAAAGAATAGGTTGAGAGCTTAAGTAGTTAATTTAGAAGAGGAGATTAGAAGAGGAAGGAGTAATAATAATAATAATAATAATAATAATAGTAAAGGTAGTAGTAATAAAGAAAGAATAGTAGGGTTTGAGTTTTTCAGAGAGAGAAAATATAAATAAAAATTAAATAAATATAAATATTAAATAATTAAATAAAATAATAAAATAAAATAGATAAATTAAGAATAAATAAATTTAGATTCTATGATTTCATAGTGAATAGGAGATAAAGACCTTTTATAAATTACAATATGTAGTAAAAACTTCAAATTCTAAAACTTTTCTGTTTTATGTATAAAGCAAAACAAACAAAAAACAAGATAGCATCTATTATATTTGAATAGGCTAAAGCTTACAAGAGATCTTTACTATTTATAATTTTATACTATTAATAATCATATATAGTTTCCAAAATTCAAATTAACAAATATACTAACAAATCACAATACTTGTTATTCACAGTTATAGCTACTACATATTTTGTTAACTAAGAAAAGAAAAATAAATTAATATTAAATAATTAAAGAGGATAATAAAATAAAATAAAATTATATTTGATAAAAATTAATTATGAAGAGGAATTTGAGTAAGAGAGATGAAAGAAGACAAGGGGAGAGTAAAGTCATTAAAGAGAAAATAAATATTTTAAGCAGAGAATATTTTGTCATTAAATTTTAAATTATAAAAGAAGAAAGAAGAGTATTGTTTTTAAAGAGGTTATAGTAGAGAGATCAATTTTAAAGATACAAATTATTGTTGTAGATATTGTAGTATATTTTAAATATCAAAAATATTAATTTATATTTTCTATTTCCAAAATAATATTAGATCCTTATATCTATATATTTAGTTTATGAAATACCTGTTTATCAGAATATTATTTATCCTATAAGGTTGCAGTAAGCTGCAAGCTTTTAGAGTTCTTATACCTACACATTTAGCTCATGAAATACTCATCTATTAGAGTATTATTCATCCTATAAGGTTGTAGTAAGTTGTGAACTATATCTAGAGATATTACTTCTGGAAATTCTTATCATCTAGACATTTTATATCTAAAAATCTAGAATCTGTTTCTAATACTGTAAAAATAAATTTAAAGTTTTTTATTAATATGTATGTAGTTGAACTTCTAAGCATTAATATTTAAAAGTACTTAATAGAATCTTTCTAACTTGATAAATTAAATTAAATTTCTTTATATTTTTAAGAGATAGCAATATAAAAACTACTAGTCATCTTTTACTCAGAATTGACAAACTATAAGTCTTTTTATGTATTTTTCTACTTACAAAGAGTAGAGATATTTCTTACTATCAGTTTACTTTTACTTAGAAGTAGCAAACTGTCTTGATATAATTAAATTAAAAATAGAATATTTAAAATAATATTCATAATATTCTGAGTCTATATCTATAATAGTATTGAGTATAAGTATTATCTAATATAATTTTTTTTTTTTTTTTTTTTTTTTTTTTTTTTAAAGCAAGATCTATCCTCTATCTCTTTATTATTATAATAAATTTGGTATACAAGTAAATACAAAATGCAGAAATCTATACTAAAGGGAGATAAAGATAAAAGCTAGTTTACTCTCAACCTAAACTATTGCTAAAAAGGTCATAAACCTCTAGTCTTTGATAATGTGTAAAAGTAATAATTGATCAAGTCAAATTTATTTTTGTAATCTTGTTGTGATTTTTGTTTGACTAATATTTTTTGTTTTTGTTAGTAGAATCAGATTTAAAGGAGGTAGTGCAAAAAAGGCTGATTCATATAAAGTTTTTCGGGATAGAACCCAAAATTCTTCATATATAGCTTTTATAATGTAGTGATATAGAAATGCTGTATATATTTTTTTGTATTTTTGTTCTACTGAAGCAGTTGTCTTACTTATGATAATTTCTATAGATATTTTCTGAGTACAATATAAGTATTTATATGTACTTATAAAAGTATATATTTCTTGTAATTTGACTTTGTTCTTTCTCATATACTCATAAAGTATATTCTTGAGAAATGTCTCAGGTCTAATATAATTTTGTATACATATAAGTATGTGAGCGAAATCTTCTTAATTTGAATGACAGTAAGAGCAGAGATAGTTTTTATATTTAGTTGGGTTCCGAATGTAGAGATTTAAATATACTAGAAGTTCTTCTGCTATGAGTTTTATTTTAAAATTTTTTAATATGGAGAGTGTTGGATTAGTATAGAGAGCCAGTGGTTTATCACTATATAATATATAGTTTAGTGTATCTGTTCAAAATATATCTGGTATATTTGTAACTAGATATGATATACATTGTTAGTTTATCTAATATAGATAGTTTGTAATTGTAGTAGTATATTTGAATATTGTTTTGAGTAAATAGGGGCTATGTATTGACAAAAGAAGTGGGATGAATCAATTGTGTAAAAAATTCTGTGGAGTAATATTTAGAGGAAATAGAAGATCTGGTTTATTATCTATTGATAGATCTTTATCTAATTGTATATCTATTGTGATGTCAACTGATATAGTTCTTAGCATAAAGAGTAGATAACCAAAATGTTGTTTGTCAAAATAAGCAAAGTTATATAGTAGAGTCTAGTTGCATTTGGTTATTAAATTTCTAAGTATGTTGCTACTTATAAGTAATGAAACGTGTATTTGTGATACTAAAGTAGATATTATAAAAATCAATAATATTAGTTGTATATTTGTATATAATAGCCATGAGGTATTATAGCATCCTAATATTGTTTTTAATTTGGAAAGGTAGCATTTGGCTACAATAGTATTATTCTCTATATTTTTCTCTGTTATGCATATAAGATGAATTTCTATGTGTTTCTTTAATATATTTATCTTTGTTAGAGAGTTCCATAATGAAGTTAGTGGATGGTCAAAAGTATTATGAGGTCATAAAAATATCTCAAATTCGGGTATATAGGTTGTTTGTTTCATTATATAATTTGTTTTTAGAGCCTTTAATATATCACTTAATCTTGCGTGAATTCTGTATTTACAATCTATTTGTATATTGTGAAGTATGCTTGCTGTTGTTGTGAAGTAGCATTTCTTGTTTTGAGAATTTAGACTTTTTAAGTAACATTTAGGACATGTTCTCAATATATTCTGTGGAGTTAATATATAGTGTTTAACTCTTAATTTTATGTTAGATATGTTGAAGATTTTTCTAATATTGCTATCTTTTGTGATAACTCAGCCCTTTTTAGTTAGAGTCTATGAGGTAATTGTGAAAGAGTTTGGGTAAATCATTTGTGTAGATAGATTTGCAGTTGAAGCTATAATTTCTTGTATTGTAGAGAACTATTTGAGTATTCTGCTATGTAGGATTTTCTTAATATTGTTATGTACTTCAGTTCAACTTAGTAGTTTAGTATTTTTATAGTTTAGAAGTTGTTCTATGCAGTTTATTTTCAAGTTGTTAAGCTTTTGTTTAAGGAAGGGACTATTCTTTTGTCCTACTAGAATTGAGTTAATTGGAGTACCTTTTAGTTTTTGTGAAACTGGCTAGTTGTTATAGTATTGAGATATTGTAAGATTTGAGAGGTAGATAGCTATAACTACTTGTGCTGTATATGTATTATTCTGGTAATGTGGAAATACTAGCAGTAGGCTTAAGATTAAGACATCTGTTTGTGCTGAAACCTGTAGGTGTTGTAGATGTATTTTAAGGTATAAAGGGTTGAAATTGTTATTGTTTAAGTTTTTTAATAGAGTAGTCGCAAGTATCAAAGTTTGGACTTGTGTTAAATTTTTTAGTGTATATATGTCTAGATTAAAGAGAAAGGAGTTAGAAACACTACGAGCTAGTTTTGCTTTATATTTGACAATATTAGTATAGATTCTTGTAATATTATTTAATTGATTTGTTAAGAGTGATGAGGAGTATAGCCTGTACTGAAGTTGTAGAAGCAATACATTATTTAAAATATATATAGCTTGTTTTTCTGTTATTTGAGCTATTTGTAATTTTTTTAAGTTAAGTATCATTTCATCTGAAATTTTTTTTGGAACTATATTGGGTTGTGTATTAAGAGAGAACTATGTCCCAAGATACTTGAATAGTATTTTTTGCTTTATCACTATTATTGTATCATTAGCGAAGCTAATAGATCTATCAGATATCTCTAAATTAGTGACCAGAATTGATTTAGTTGAATTGATATGAATGTTGTTAAGTTTGTAAAATGAGTTAGCAACTTTTAGAATATCTAATAGTGATTTTTTGTCAGGAGCGATCCAGAATAAATCATCTATATATGCTATTATAGAACTATAAATGATCTTATGTAGCTGCTGTGTTTTTAGGTGTTCTTGAAAGCCTAAGAATTTTTTATGTATTTGGGAGATTAAAGAGTCATAGTAAATCTTTCAAAGCAAGGAAGAGAAGGTCTCTCCTTAGTCTATTACATCCTCAACATAGTAATATTTTGTAAGGCCTAATGAGGTTATAACTCTATTATGTCTATTAGTTAAGAGTGATATTAAGAGTTGTATGAAGTCTTCTAGTATATGAATTCTCTCTAATACCTTATATAGTATTGGTAGATGCATAGAATTGAAGGCTTTCAATATGTCTTGTAGAAGTATTCAAATTTCTTTCTTTTCAGTAATAGAGTGTTCGATGATACTTGTTAATTGAGAAACAGGTTAGAGCATTAATTAGTGAGGGAAAGCTGCAAAGTTTTGAGAAGATAAGATTTCATTTCTAGTGATTATAGAAATGAGTCTGTTAGTTAGTATTTTTGTAAAGATTTTTCTTGTGTGTTCAATTAGAGTAATTAGTCTAGTTGTATTTAGATCGTAGTTGTATTGAGGTTTTTTGAGATTGGCCAGATGTTTGTGTCAGCCTATTGATTTGGTGTAGTTTGAAGTGTGAGGCAAGTGTTCATTATATCGAGAAGATAAGAGATTACTACTAGTGCTAAATGTTGCAAGATTTCATTCAAAATTCCAAGTGGTCTAGTAGCTTTATTTTTTAGCATATCAGCAATCATTTGTAATAGATCTTCTATTTTTATTAGGACTAGAAGGTTATCGAATATGTGAGGTTGTATATAACTTAGTAGTTCATAGTATTGTTCTCACTTATGCCAAAAGACTTTGTTTGTTTTATTTTCTTTTGTCTAGTTTTTGAAGTGTTGTTGAGTCACCTTCTTGATTTTGTTAGGTTCAGTTATTAATCTATCATTTAGAATAATTTTTTCATAGTTAACCTAGTCTGTACGTCTTTGCAGAATATTGTCTATCATTCTTGAGGTATTGTCTTTGAAATCAGTATATCTGCGATTAGTATAGAATTTAATTTTTTCATTCTGTTCATTCCTTTTTTCAGTATTGCATACTTGCCAAATTATATATTTGTATTCTTTAAGTTTAGCAATAGTGTTGTCATCTCTATTATTATATTTATCTTAGTTCATACTTAGGATAGTTAGGTTGGCTAGTGATGCGGTCTTTGAAATATGTTTGTTCAACATATCTAAGGAAGTGTTTGGTTTAGTTGCTAGTAGGTTTAGAGCTTTGTTTATATTTGTTAGAGCAGAGTACAATTTGTTGATTTTAATGAAATTGAGTGAAAGGTTTTAGGTGCTGTATACATATGAGGAATGTGTTTGTTGATAGCTTCTTTTATTTTTTGAAACCAGATATGCTAGAGCTTGTTAAGGGTATTCAGATTCAAGCAATTTTTTGAGTTTGAGAAAGAGTTTATAAGGGTGTCTTTAGTGTTTAAGAATTCTTTTCACTCCTGTTCTTTTATTTTGTTGTAATAGTATATTTTCTTTTTCTTTTTTTTTCTGTTTCTTGAAGGTGTAGTGAATCTTGTGTATCAGGTTGTATTTATTATTTAATAGTCACTATCTAAAATTCTAATTGCATTAGATAGTGTTGAGGTACTCAGGTCAAGTAAAATATTACTTGAAGCCCAAATATAATCTATTTGACTAAAGAGATCTTGTCATTGTCAAGTAGGAGCTAATATATTATGAAATTCTAATAAGCTTGAGAAGCTGGTAATTTGTAATTTTAGGAATATTATGTATTTTTTTTTTAGTATTAGTATTTGTATTGAAGTCTCTTATAATTAGTGAGTACTCGTTTTTAGTTTTAATTTCCTCTATTCAATTGTTTAGCTACCTTTGTGTTCTCATAAGTAGTTCATCATGATTTGAAGGGAGGTATGTTGAAACTATGCAGATCTTATTGTTGTTAGGGAATTAAAAGTCTATTCAAATTAGTGTTTCAGGATATGTTAAAATATTTCTTATATATAGTATTAATGAGTAATGTATCATTAGAGCTGTTCCTAGACTTGTTTCTCTCTATTGTTTTTAGTATAGAATAAAGTTAGAAGTAAAGATTTTATAGATTGGATTTGTTAGAGTAAATTCATTTGTGTTTTTGAGTTTAGTCTCAGTTAAAGAGATAATATGTAAATTATTTTTATTGTAGTATTGTATCTAGTTTTGTAGTTTGACTAGATTATTTAGTTCTTGAATATTATGAGTTGCAATTTTGATTTTTTTATTGATATTAGGATTGTTATGTTGAGTTTTGGTATCATTAAGATTGGTAAAATTATTTGTATTATTGTTCATAGTCTAATTTAGGAGTTTCACTCATTATTGTATTATTATCATCTGACTTGTTACTGTGTATGGAGTTATTGAATATGTTCTATTCAGAGGATTGTATGTTAGAAAGAGTAAAAATGAAGTTAAGAAGGTTATTGTAGTGGAAGTTTTCAGTAATAAACCTCATTGTTGATGGTATATCCTCATGCTTTGTAATCAGAAGATCTAATTTTTTCTTTAGCTATTTTTGTTGGACTGTTTGGATCAAATCTTGTAGATTATTTGGGGGAGTATTGGGATTGAGATTATCTCTTTTAGGTATTTGTATCCAAGATTCTGGTATCTTGTAGAAGAAGTAGTATTCTCATAATGCTCATGATGCTATAGTTAACTCTTTTGTTATATTTATAGGCAGAGTTAGGTTTACTTCTGTTACTTTTTCTGCCTCTTCTAGGAGCTCAGGAAGGTTAGTATAATTGCAAGTACAGTATCTCTCTGATAAAGGAAATAGAGTTATATAGACTTTTGGAATTTCTGTAAGAAATTTCTTTGTTTCTTCTTTTGTGCAAAGTAGAAAAGTATAGGTATTTGTTAAAAGTAGGTCCTTTGGTTTTAGAAGAAGCTTTTGTTTTGGGATAAAGTAATCATTAGATAATTTAAAAAAAGCAAAATCTAGATAAAGTAAATTGAAATGTTCTAGTAGATCTTCTCTATTTTTTGGAAAGAATATGAATTTTGGTTGTAGATGTAGTAGAAGATCTTGTGAAGTGAGTAGTAGTTGTAGCTTTGGTGTAGATAAGACAAAATAATTTGTTAGGATTTAATAAAAGATGTAGAATTCCTATAAGGCTTTCCTATAACTAGGCAGATTTTTCAGTTTACTTCGTTTTGTAATAGAAAACAGGTCTTTAACTTGTGTACAGAGATTTCTTGGACTAGTAGAAAGAGTAGTTCATATATCTTTGATATAGCTTTTAGGTAGCTGTTAGAAGTTAAAGACTTTTCTTAATACCCTTACAGTAGCTTCTATATTCAGAGAGTTAGTTATGAGTAAGGAGAAGTTAAGACATAATGAGATATGTGTAGGGATATCTAAGAGATTATCTAGGAGGAGTAGATAATTTGTAGTTAGGTATTTGTCTATTTGTGCTAATACTTCATCGAATTTGTATAATATTGGTATTTTTGTAAATCCCACTAAGTAGAAAATTATTCTAGTAATTTCTCTTGGTGTGAGTGTATTCAGATCTAAGAATAGTAAGTAATCTATACCTAGTTTTTAACATAGTTTATAGAAAATTTTATCCTGATTTGTTTTGTTTGTTATTGTAACATTGTGCTAATCTTTATATTTTTCTATTACCATATTCAAAAGAATATTAAATTCCTTTTGATGTTGGGGTTTTGTTGCAGAAAACTAAGAAAAGATACTAAAGAATTAGTTATCCTTGTAGTATAGTTTCGCATAGATTACAGAAAGAATTAGGTATTCTGCTAGGAGAGTTCAAATTTTGTGTGATATTAGGTTAGCTAAACTTTTTATAGATATAAAGATTTCCAAACATCTGTTGTAGTGCCATTTTTCTTTGTCTAAATTCTTGTAGTTGCTCTTTCTCTAGTCTTTTAATCCAAGTTCAAGTGCATATTTCCAAGCAGTTTCTTTGTTCTTTCTTGTATCTATTATAGCTAATCTTTGTTTCAGTCTGCTCATTACTACTGAGCTATATGTTCTTGGAGGAGTACTAATAGATGTTGTAGCTTCTTTTAATGTTGTATTCAAAGTTGCATATGTCGAATATGCATTAATTTCTTCTAGAGTTTTATCAAGATCTACTGTGTTACTATTAGTGCTAGTCAGAGTTTGTTTTAATATTGAAGTTGAATTAGGGCAAAGAATTTTGAAGTTTTAGTTGAGATTTAATTATCTGTTTGTTTATCTGTCATGTAGTTTGCTTATACTAGTAATGTCATATATATTGTTGACGAGGTTAAACTAGAATCCCTACTTTTTTCAAAAAGTATTTTTTTTTCAATAGCAAAAGTCGAAGTATTTTGGGTTTTTTCATTAAGCTGAGGGAGGTGTCTATTGCTTTTTTTGTTTTTTTTGTTCTGATGTTTGTTAATATAGGTGGTATCAGTAGATGTAGTAGTTTGCACTGTGGTAGAACTAAGAGATCTGTCTCTAGTTTTTTTTTTTGTTGTTGATATTGCTGATATAGTTAGCAACAGTTTTATTGAGAGAGTAGGTAAGTGAGGAATGGGCTTTCTAGTTCTTTTAATCTTTTCAGTTGTATAAGTAGAGTATATATAACTATTCTTGTTATTTAGTTAGTTATGAGCAATCTATATGTAGAAAATTTTTTTTTTTTTGTTTTTGCTCTGCTCCATATATTAGTTTTGGGATCTATGGGTAAGAGTTTTTTTTTATCATCTAATATAATTATCTACACAATAATATAATAATAAACATATTCTAGTCAAAAACTCTTATTGTAGATTATTTTGACTATTTTTAAAGCTAAAGCAAAAACGTATTTTCAAAGAAACTTCATTAAGAAACAATACAAGAAACAATAAGCAAAAGAAAAGAGCATGCAAAGTTATATTTAGCAGAAAGTAAAAGATAGAAAATCTAAAAAAGATCTAGAAGATAACTTGAGTTTCAAAAAAAATTCGTAGAAATTTTTAGAAAAAGTGGGGATTTGAATTCACTCTATCTTGCAGATCCTCTAACATAACACAAGGGTTACAAAACAAGGTAAACAAACTACATGTAGGGAAATTACTAATTTGACATATCACATGCAAGCCAATAGAAGAGAAGTATATAGCATCTAAACTAGACAAAATGCAGGCAATCAGGAAATATCTTAGAGTTTTTAGCAAAAAAGCCAAAGTTATTTTAAAAAGTAAAGAATATGATTATTTATAATATTAGTAGATAAAAATTTTTAAGGAAATCAGAAGAAAGCTTCTCACCAAGTAAGAAAAAGATAGCAAGTATTAAAGTGATACTTAAAGAAGAGGAACTACAGAAGCTTACCAGTATAATTAAGAGTATAGAAAGAAGTAGAGAGCAAATAGATGACCTTATTTCTAGAATTACAGGAATAAGTATCAAAGTGATCACAATAACCAGGAATTGGCACAGAATAATTAAAAAGATAATTATTAAAGAAGGTGAGAAGTACTGATCACAGCTTATGAAGAACTAGAACAGGAATTATTAATTGCTAAAGAGCTAAAAAAAGCAAAACAAAGACTAAAGAAAACAAGAAAATAATATTAGAAGCTAACTTACAGTCTAAAGAAGTTTTACAAAATTTGACTGAGTTAGTAGATCAAAAAATAACTACTAAGTTAGCTAAGTATAATATATTCTATGATAAATTGTCTGAAGTAGAGAGTGTAGAGAACAATACAAAATCAATAATTTCTAAAGAAATTGAGCACCTGAATAGGAAGATTGCAGTGAGTAGTAAGATAGCAATTGATATCCTATTTACAAATAGAGAGTTAAAAGAGGATTATAAAATATTTAACTCTCAAAAAACTAGCATAGTAGTGAGTAGGTTTACTTTAAATAGCAAGGTCAATTCTAGCAATACAAAGTCTGCAGAATTTGAGCTTATAGACTTAGCCTTGTATACAAAAGATATAATTCTTGAGAATGCAGAAGATGCTCTACTTGAAACTTCACAAAAAAAAATTAATAATCCAAAGGAGTATTAGAAAGCAACTAGATTATGCAGTTGCAAACTATAAAAACTACAAAAAATCTCTCTTGAAAATAGTCAGTGAGTACCTAACAAAATACCTGTGAAAAAACAGGAGAATATAGAGCAAAAATTTACTCTATCTCACTTCCTGAGAAATCAAAAGAAGAATGAATCAAATTTGTAAAAGAAACATTATATAAAAGTATTTATATATATGAGATTGTTGAGTGCTTTGAAAATAGAAACAGTTGAGTAGTCATCATCTTTGATTGTTTCAAAGATCTAAACATCTTGA